ACAGTACAAAGTCAGTGCTCTTGTGCAAATACTCGTGGCCAGTGTAGACAGGCGGCAAGATCTTGCGCAAAATCTTGCCAGTCTAGATGCACCCTCTGTGTCACAGGGTCCTTAAAGAAAGAGACTTTGAGGAGGAAGATTGGCTACTGGAGCAAGCTGCCACCCCCCACAGCATCCAGGCCGAAGATTAGACCAAAGGGTGGGGCTAAGGTGACATCACCAGCTCAACCTCTCTCTAGATCACAAAACGGGATGGGATGTAACAGCAGCTCTGGCCCACCTCTTCCCCCACGTACCACCAGCTGGACTGTCTGAGATTGTCAAACAAAGGGGATTGTCCTCCTAAAAATGGGCTGCTAAAAAGGAAGCCTTTTTAAAGACTGTGATAGAAATGCAGCCGTGTTAGTCTGGTGAAGCTGAAACAAAAACCAGGACTATGTAGCACTTTAAAGACTAACAAGATGGGGGAGTGGGTCTGGCCCACGAAAGCTCATCACCTATTAAACCATTTTGTTAGTCTTTAAAGTGCTACATAGTCCTGGTTTTTTTGTTTGTTTTTTGTTTTAAAGACTGGGCATTTCAGTGCCTTTCCTTTTTAAAAAAAAAACTTCAGTGGTTAAAAAGATTTGAATGGTATGTTTGCAACGATGCTAAGCAGCGTGAGTGTCAGTACGCCAGCATGCAAACCTGGGAGTAATGCTGCCTCCGTGTCCTCCCCTTGCAAAGGATGCTGTGCAGTACGTGGCAAACCACAGGCAGGGTCCTGCACTCAGTTTCAGTGTGAGCCAACGTTGACTTCAGCGGCTTATTCTGCATTGAGCCCAGAATCAGGCCCCGTGGCAGCAAACAGGGAGTTTCACTAGACTTGCTTTTCTGCCCTGGCAGGGGAAGCAGCAGGCAGCAGCCAGGCCCAAACAGCTGCTGGTGCTGTGCTTGTTGTTTAATTCTTTGCAATTGCACGTTAACGAAACCAGACCACAGCAAGCCAGCCTCTATGGTCCTAAGGTCACATCCTTGGATGTGGCTAATGTGACATCATTCGATTTACTGCCTTGTGTTCCTGGTGCACCAGGATCTTCAGGCAAGGGTGGTGCACGTATGGCTGTGTTATTCCCTGCGTCATGGCCTTTGAGACATGGGCGTAAAGAGCAGGTTGTCAGAAGTAGCTAGTTGCATGCCTCAGGTTTTGGGAGCCCGGTCTCAGACACATGGGCCTGAGTGCTGGGTGCCATTGGCTTCAGCACCTCAGAAAATCCAGCCCAGGGGATCTGAGCTTAGATTCCCAGAACTGAGGCATCCAGAAGTAGCGATCACTTTGGGAAGTTTTTAGCCTGAGCTATGTGACCAGGAAGGCACATTAATGGCAGAGCCAGGGAAAGAACAGCTGAGTCCTCAGTTCTGGTCTGTATAGAGAAGGTTCAGATTTCAGACACGTCCCTGGTAAGCCCCTCCTTCCCTCCCTCTCCCCCCCCCCAAAAAAGCTGGTGTTTCCCCAGTAAACACCAGAGAAACACTGGAGCGTGTGTTGGCTTCACCCTTTTCCAGAGAGTTTCTTTATGCTGGTGATGTCTCTGCTCCTTGGTACCTAGCGAAGAGTAATGCAGATGACGGGGTGTGGTTTCTAAAGCGCACTAACGCATTGCACATTAATTAGGCCACGTAGACCTGCGTGTGTGTTGCACTGTGGCAGATGTCAGGAGTTCCTGGCCCCTGTGGCCGTGCCCTGGGTATTGTACCCCTCTGTCCCTCTCACATGGATTCCATCAACTCCAGTGTGTTTCACTAGCTCTATTTTTACCACACCCTCAATTAGCCTCATTAGAGGGATTTTCTCAGGAAACTCTTCCTCGTGACTTCAGAAGTCTGGCAGAGCAGAGGCAGCACTAAGCTGACAGGAAATCAACAAAGCTTAGAAAGTCCAGAAATGAACCAGCTACGTCACAGGAGTGGAACCTGCTTGGCTGGTCCCAATCCCAGGGTCTCCAGGCACCTCCCGGTGCATCAGCTTTGCCACAGGCTATATTTACTCCGATTTATGCAATGCAATTAGCCCTGCCTCCCTGACCTGCTCCTGGGATCCATCAGGTGCTTTCTGAGTAGCTGTTCAGGTCCCAAGGCTACAGATTAATCAACCAGAATCTCCACAATGGAAGTGAACATTCTGCTCTCCCTGCTCGGCAGGCCCTGTCCCTGGGCCCATGAAAGAGGGGATGGCGATTCTGGAGTCACTGGTGTCGCTGCAGCACATGGAGACATACTCGATCTAGTTCTCCTAACAAAAGCCGTGAACCTGCAGCACTGAAGGTAGCATCCCAGCCTGCCGGCGCTGGTGTGGCTTCCCTGCTATTGAGCCAGCTACATCAAGGCAAGCTCAGGCGCAGCAGTTGCATGCTGCAATCATGCCTTTGATGGCAGGTGAGACGGATCCTGCCGTAGCCATCCGTCCCCGGGGCTGGATGCCTCAGGAGGAGATGTGTAGCTGACGGGTAGGCCTGTGTGATGGTCCCCTTAGAGAGCACCCATTTCCTATGGAGAGACTGGGGCAGGTGCTCATGGTCCTGCAGCACTAGCTGCTCTGCCTGCCCGTCACTAATTTCATTCCCTTTCCCACAGCCCCGTTGCACCTCACAGCCAGGAACAGGCTCAGATCAGCTCCATCAGCAAGTTGAATCTTTTCGTCCCGCTCCCGTGGGTGAGGAACTGAGTCCCGGAGGGTGGAATTCACTCCAGCCACAAGGGCCCACTCTAGGCCAGGCCAGCAGGTGAGATCTCCCTTCTCACGCTGCCTCCAGCCTGATTTCCCAGTGCTCTTGCTAGGCACCGGCAGTTCCCACGCAGCTTCCGGTTGGGCAGTGGGGGCTCAACACTTTGAACCCCAGCTGCAGACCCCTGCTGGGGGGGTTTGTTCCGGCTGCCTCCTGACATCACCTGAAGCTTGACACCTGCGGACTCACCCGGGTTCTCAATTCTACCTGCCCAGCTGGGCGCACAGAGCCATCGCCTGCCCCGTGAATCTTGCCCTTCTCCAGAGAGCCAGATGAGTGGTTTTCTGCACTGCACCCATCATGGTTAGGGGGCTGATGTGCAGCCACAGGGAGAGCCAAGAGGGCGGGGGTGGGGTTGTTCTCCTCTCTAACCAGCCCGGCTGCCTGTCTTGCCTTTTCCTTGCCATAGAGCTGATGGGAATAAAGGAAGGCCAATTACTATGGAAGGGAGAAAATAGCCTCATCTCTGACTCTCACCCTCCCGATTCTGGGAGCCAAAGGGCTGATGTAGCTCCTCTCATGGGAGGCAGCAGCAGGAGCTGCTCTGGTTTTGATCCAGCGTGTTTCCAAGGACTCGGAAGGACACGTGGTAGCTCCAGGACATCCTGAGGGAGCATGATAACATCAATTACATCCTGCAAATGAAAAGAGCTGCTTGTGTAAATCTGGTGCTTGACCCACAGCCTGAAGGAGGCAACTTCCTGCTCTCTTGACGTGGTGATTAAAGAAGAATGGTCTGTCCCCAGGGACCGGGCTTTATTAGTTCTGCTTATTGAGTGAACAGGCTTTGTGTGTCCTCAGACTCGTACAGCCCACAGGCACCAGGACAATGGGGTGAATTTACCTGGAAGCAACTCAGGCATTCTGGGGATACAGGGCTTGGGAAAGCCCCGCGTTTCAGGAGCGCGCAGCCCAGGCCATGTGGCCGAGGGTTGGATCTCGAATGCTGGAGTGACACCACCTCACCCAGAGGCAGAGCTGGGCAAGGAACGGAACCACCACAGGACATTTGAATTACAAATCAGAGCGAAAAAACCAAAACTTGGAAACTTCCTGCAGAACAAAAATTCTTTTTTTTTTTTTTTAAATTTGGAGCTATCTAAACATTTAGGCTCAATAAAGTAAAAATAGTGGGGGTTTGTGAGTGGAAACACAGTATAAATATGAAATATAATAGATGTAAATGATTATAATACAGCTTCTCCCCTCTGTCTTGCTCCACAGCCCCAGGGCCCTCATCAGTTCCCCCTTCCCATCCTGCCCCACAGCGCCTGGGCCCTCGCCAGCCGGCCACCATGTATCAGAACAAGCCTGAGGATAGCCAGCACTGAATCTTCTTTTAACAGCTTCGGGGGGATAAACTGCCATGAAAGCTCATGGTCCCATCTCCAGGTTTTGTTAGTCTTTAAAGTGCTACCAGACTACTTCTTTTAACAGGTTCTCAGATACCCACCCCTTTAAACAGGGACCTGGGCCTTTCCTAGTTAGGTCTGGGGACAGAGAACGCAAGGAGAGGTAGCCTAGGAGATGTTGGAATGCCAGCTCGTGTCCCTCAAGCTGTGACACCTGCCTAATTTTTTTTTTAAATTCAAGGCCCCCTGGGCATAGAGCAGCCTTTAGGCAACCAGCCAGCCCGAGGAAGGCTGACAACGATGGGCCCCCATGTTCACTGCACCCTGGATTAGCAGTCCATGGCTGTACAGGGTATCCCCACTATACGTCCAAGATAAGTTCAAAAAACTGTGGCCGTACTCAAGCTGTGACACCTGCCTAATTTTTTTTTTAAATTCAAGGCCCCCTGGGCATAGAGCAGCCTTTAGGCAACCAGCCAGCCCGAGGAAGGCTGACAACGATGGGCCCCCATGTTCACTGCACCCTGGATTAGCAGTCCATGGCTGTACAGGGTATCCCCACTATACGTCCAAGATAAGTTCAAAAAACTGTGGCCGTACCCCCCCCCCCCCCCCGTCCCGCTCGCTTCCGTTTGCGCCAATTGGTCTTTTAATTTTTGCGCCACAGAAGAGCGGGGTGTGGGTGGACTTAAAACGGAACCGTTCCCACAAGCATCAGCGAAGCAACTTACAGCGGGGACGCCCTGTATCACTTAACCGCCTTGTCACGGGAAAAGGGCCATTTGGGGCTTTGCGTGGCTATGAAGTGCGGGGGGGGGGGGGGCACCCGCGTTGTTTTGCAA